CGTGTTTGTGTCATGGCCATGCTGAACATTGCCTTCCTGAAAATGAAGGACAAGACAGCCTGCAACCCAGTAATGTGGTAAGTTTGTCCATTTTATAAGTGATTTTTGGGACGAACAGCATTGTTTGTTCTTCTGCATACTTGAGGGTGTATGTGAACTCACCCAGCAAGCACCAAGTGGGCTGTTATATGCAGGGCTTGAATGGGCAGCAAATTGAAAGTGAATCATTCCTCTGGAGCGCAGGTGTCTGGCAAGTGTGTGTGTACCCACCACACAGCTGGCGAGCACTGCGAGAGGTGTGCCCCACTCTACAACGACCAGCCCTGGAGAGCGGCCAACGGAAGCAGCGGGGAGAGCAACCCATGCCAGAGTGAGTGCATTTACTGTTGATTCAGCCTTAAATTCCTTTAATCCTTGAAAATGGAAATTGCGCTATGATAGGCATTTCTATCTTTTTATCATGTCATAATTAGTGGTGCTTTCTAATGCAGGAGGGATTCCAGGCATATCCACAAAAATGAATTCTTTCATCATTTACTCACACTCAAGTTGTTCCAAAATGAGTTTCTTTCTTCTGTTGAACATAAGATATTTTGAAGAAAGTGGCTAGCCAAACAGTTGCTGGTCCCATAGTCAGTTGCTGGACTTCCATAGTATGGAAAAAAAAACAGAAACCGTTTGTAATGGAAAAGATAGATAGATTAGTTCTTAGGATGATTCTTTGATCCATACTGTCTTTCTCTCTGTAACTTTTCCTCTGTGTTCTCTTTTTGTTGCTGAAGAGTGTGAATGTCACGGCCACGCAGAGAGCTGCCACTTCTCCCAGCGAATGTGGCTGTCCACAGGGGGCAATAGCGGGGGCGTCTGCGACAACTGCCAGCATAACACTGTGGGCCGCTGGTGCCAGCGCTGTCACACCGGATACCACCGTCACCCTGCCAGACCCCTCAACTCCCCGCATGCTTGCATACGTAAGACAGTTAGAAAGAAAGGAAGAAACAAAGAGAAAAGGACAACGAGATCTTAAAGGGTTCTGCCCTCAAATTATTCCTAACTGAACCCAAAATTGACTTTACTTCATTACAGCATATTCTTGGTCTTATTGTGAATTGGTGCATTATTATTATAATTATTATTATTTATTTATTTATTTATATAGATACATTTGTAATCTTTAATCAAAATATAACTTGTTGTTTTTCTAAAATGACTTTTGAGTCACAGTTTTCACCGGGTGGAAAATACAATATCAAAAATAGGAAAAATATATTTTAAGAAGATAAAAATTTGAGGGGAAAAAAATAGGAAACACTATTAAGAATCATGGAAATTATGAAAATAGTTGTAGGGCTGGATGGATATCTAATTTTAAGAGTGGAGCTGCAACTGGACCGTTACTGTAACGCTTAAATAAGGATTTATACGAATTTAAAAGGTAGTTAAAAAGACTTTTACCCGGTGGACAATACAATATAAAAAAAGAGAAAATAGGAAAAATATCTTTTAAAATATAAACATTTGAGACAAAATAAGAAAAATATCATTTAGAATAAAATAAGCCACCCCGCTTATCCTTAACAATATCCTAGCAACCACTTAGAACTGCATTCTTAAGCACTCCTTATTTTCTTAAAAAAATGTAAAAATCACTTTTTGTTTCAAAATGGTTTACTTTGCAATCATTTACAGTCTTTTATTGCCTCCTAGTGGTGGCAGTGTGGCACAATCCACTAAAGTGATTTAAAAGCAGTGGGAAGAGCTGATGAACCAATGATCAAAGATCTTTTCTATGGCAGGATGCTGGTGTGACCCAGTTGGTTCGGTGCTAGTCCTTTCCGGTGACGGGACACCATGGTGCCATCCGAGAAGTGGACAGTGCCACTGTAAACTTGGTGTGGGCGGCACCACCTGCAGCCACTGTCTAGCAGGGTACTGGGGTTTTGGAGAGGAGGGCTGCAAATCTTGTGTGTGCTCTTTGACCTGTGATCCCATCACAGGTCATTGCCGAGACAGGTCAGACTAAATTTTCAATTCTTTCTAAATTTACCATTTGTGATTTGAAACTAAAACACTGAGCATTGATCATTTTAACTCCAAATGTCTGGTTTTAATGACTTAAGTTGATTGTGATACCTGTTGGAGATTTTGAAATACCATTGATTTTTGTTGTCGTATCATTTTTCTTTAACAGCAAAGGTAGTGTCAAGCTTTACAATGTACCAATCGGTGGGAAAATTCCTGAACTGTCCCACTTTAAACCTCAAGAGGACGAGAGGGCATGGCCTAAAGAACTGGCCATCTCTGCGCTGTACTATACAGGTGAGCTGACTACAGTAACGAAACATTCCACACTAACAGCGGCTATTTTGAAACTGCAGCAGGAAATTGGACTTTAGGACGTGGCTTTTTATGTGGTTCCTTCAAATGTAAAAATACATATGTGATATTTTTTATATATTGTTAACATCAAACAAACAATATAATTCTTATTCTCAGTGATTAAAAAATTAAACGAAAAAAAATGTGAAAAGTGATTGCACAACCATCAATTAGGTGGTGATATGCAGTTGTGAGGGTAAGTTAACCTTGCTTTCTGGAATACACCCCAGGTCATCCCAAAATAAAAAAATATAAATACTTAAGGAAAATGAAGCCAATTTCAGGACCATTTTGCACCGTAACATTATTTTCATGACAATATTCTCTTTACAGTACTGTAAAAAAATGCAAAAATTTGTATATAATTAAACACTACCATTCAAAAGTTTGAGGTCGGTAGGATTTTTTTCATGTTTTTGAAGGTCTCTTATGCTTACCAAGGCTTTATTTATTTGATCAAGAATCGAGTAAACAGTAATATTGTGAAATATTATTGTGATTTTAAAGTAAATGTTTGCTGATTTTATATATTATAAAATGCCATTTATTCTTGCTCATGAAACATTGAAGACATTAAAATTCAGCTTTGAATAGGAAGTTCAAAAGAACAGCATTTATTAAAAAAAAAAAACCTTATACTTAAAACTTATGTAACATTATAAATGTCTTTGCTCTCACTTTTGATCGATTTAATGCATCCTTACTATCATTTTGCACCGTGACATTATTTTCATGACAATATTCTCTTTACAGTACTGTAAAAAAATGCAAAAATTTGTATATAATTAAACACTACCATTCAAAAGTTTGAGGTCGGTAGGATTTTTTTCATGTTTTTGAAGGTCTCTTATGCTTACCAAGGCTTTATTTATTTGATCAAGAATCGAGTAAACAGTAATATTGTGAAATATTATTGTGATTTTAAAGTAAATGTTCGCTGATTTTATATATTATAAAATGCCATTTATTCTTGCTCATGAAACATTGAAGACATTAAAATTCAGCTTTGAATAGGAAGTTCAAAAGAACAGCATTTATAAAAAAAAAAAAAAAAAACCTTATACTTAAAACTTATGTAACATTATAAATGTCTTTGCTCTCACTTTTGATCGATTTAATGCATCCTTACTAAGTAAAAGTATTCATTTCTTTTGAATAAACAATTAATATATATCATGGTAATATTTGTTGTTAAAATAAAAAGAAACATTGGGTTACAGTCATTGTTTTTATTGTAATAAAACATATCTTAGCTCAATCAAATGTTCACTCATTGCAGTAATAAAAATTTGGGGTAAAATGTAATCTTAATCCTAAAAATGCACTTCCTTTTATTTATTTTAATTATTACATAATTTCTATGACCAGGTTGTGTTTTTGTGAGATTAAATAAGTTAATATGTACAGAACCTTTGAAATGTTTCTTGTGAATTATTTACAGGGAAGTGCAGCTGTAAGGAAAAGAAGCTGAAAAGTGTGTCAGATCTTTGCAAGATAAAACAGGCATATGGTGAGGGTTTTGTTAGTGTCATTTCATGCTATGAATCAATTCTGTTGTCATTTGCTGTCTAAACATTTCAATCTTATGAGTTTGTGGCGTTCATAGTGATCAAAGCCAGTGTGCTGTCAGCTCATGATAAAGGCACACACGCAGTTGTCCTGGTGAAAGTAAGGAAGGTGTTTCGTTCGGGAAAACTGCCCCTCTCTCAGGGAACATACAGTCTCTACCCGCTCTCCTGGACTAGCCGTGGCTGCACCTGTCCCATTCTCAACCCAGGTACAGCATCCAACACCAATTTGGGTCACAGCTTTGATTCAGTAAAGTTTGCCATTAGTGACTGTTTTGTCTCCATATTTAGGTGGGAACTATCTACTAGCAGGTCCTGAAGATGTTGACGCAGGACGGCTACTGGTCACCATGCAGAGTCTAGTAGTCCTCTGGACCCCCATCCTGGGCTTTCAGGTCACAGAAGCACTGCATCAGGGCTGCCTATGAGCACGACTTTACCCAAATGTACAGTATCACAACACTGCCCAAACTTGAAAGCCCCAAGTCACTGGAAATGATGCCATTGTACCAAAGCAGGCAGCCGGATCCTAAAAGGACCATGACCACCGGATACAACGGGAATGGAATGTGTGTAGTTACCAGAAACAAGATTCATGAAGTAGTTGCATGGCAACGTGCACTGAATAGTCACTTAAAATAACTGTAATTGTCATATAGCACAACTTTGGTCATCTTGGTGGCTGTTGACGTGTGGACATGACACAACATGGATACGGCATTCATAAGACTGATCAAAACTGTTTCTGTACTCATTCCTAGATTATCGTCATCAAAAACTAGTTACTTGAAGATATGAATGGACAAATGATAAACACAAGCCAGTGAATCTAAAGGACCGCAGGACATTTTTGAGATTCATTCATACTTTTGTATTTTATTTGCCTTTTCTCTTACTATATTTCAGTCAAGTGTTTTTAAAAATGCATTTGAATGTCTCACAGTTGTAAAATGAAAAACAAAAGGTACAGACTGACTGATTCAAATTCTCCCAGTGCTTATGCATGATTTGGACTCATTATCATATATTTTATTAAAACGTTCTTTTCAGAAACACGTACATGACAGATGAAAAGATCATTAGGTTTCTTGTTCCATCAAAACAAGAAAAATCACATTAAGTCTTTGAATGACAAATCAAACTCAAAGTAATTCAGTGATAAACAGCTAGATTTGTAAATGCCATTGATAGAATATATATATATATAAATCAAGCCACATAAGCTTAAAAATATTTCAGTTACAAAAAGGATATGATATCAGCACAATTTAACACTGTTTAATGTTATCATGTGTTGAAAATGGATCTAGAAACAGCCCTCGATGTTAAGATACTTCAATTGAAAAAAAACCTACCAGTCTTTGGAACAAGAGATATTTGCATGTTCTTACTAAACAGAGGATCTGCTCATTTATAATGTGTTGTTTCACTATTATAATAGTTCCAACACCAACAAATTATGAATGTATCATCAGTTGACAGGTAAGGCTACTAGTTTACTCTCTCACACCCCCTAATGTTTGTAGCCTGGGGCTACAGAACATTTCTTCATTATAAAATTGTTGTCATGTTCTACAACAAAAAGAGCACATGAAATGTTTATGGAGTTGTTAGTGGAGTATCTCAAAACTGCTTAGCTGTGAAAGTACAATGCCAAATGGCCTTTGAACTGTTGTAGTACGCAAATCAAATAAGCTTAGCTTAGGTTGTGAGGGGGGAATAATAACCAAAAAATACAAAGCCTGACGTTTCAAATGATGAATGTTTCATAGGCCAAGTGCAAACTCGCCTGCCACACATACAGATCGTCAAAACTCATTTTTATAGGTCCCTCAAATGCATGTTAATGTCATTTGGATATTTGAAGTTTAAGGGCTTCCTGCATCTCTGTGCATCATGCAGTCAGGTGGAGAGCATCGATCGAGCGGTGTAGTAGTTAAGATATTATCTCTTCATACTCGAAAGTGGAGCAGTCTCTGCTGTGAGGTGCGGAGGGAATGAAGCTAGAATAATATTAGCTAGCTGCTGGGTTTTCTGTGGCTGCTGGTGTGGAATCAGGAGAGAATGTAGGGAGAGAGTCAGCAGAAGTGGATTCAGTGGGTGCATTATCTGCCCCGCCAGAGGGGGCGCTGTCGTTGTCATTTTCATTAGGGTAGAGCTCAGGGTATTTCTGCATACATTCCTGCATACTCCGGAAGTTTTCCACACAATTTGAACCCTTTACCTCCTCTTTGCTATAGTGGAAACAAGAAAAGGCGTCTTTGAACTGTTGTCCACAAGGGCCACTGGCCATACCGCCCAAACACGGGCAGTTCCAGTTTATATCACCATTAGGGAGAATAAGGCCTGTAGGATTAAAAGAAATGTGTAAAAATGAGTATCCTAGACACAAGATAAATCATATCAGATTAAAAACTTACCGGGATCCTCATACGGATCATTTGGATCATCTTCGATGAGCTCAGCATCACTGGGTGCTTCATGATCCTCCTTAGTGGCAAATATGATGCGATCTTTACCTAGTGAGAGACAAGAAGGAAGTTATACACAATGTTATCAAATAGTTTTAGGGGGGATCAAACAGTCAGCCACTGAAAAGCATATATTAACTGACCACTATACCAGTGTTACTATTGTGTAACGAATCAGCTCATGACAAGAAATAGCCTCACAAGCATACTAAAATAGTCTAAAAATATCAAAGACAAAATACACGATGACAATAATATACCCAATGACCTGAAGGATATGTGTGTTCATTCAAAGAAAGGTTTTCCTATGAATTAACTAGTAGAAAAGTCCATTTCTGCTCTGCCTCTCCTATGGGGACAAAGAGTGGGTTATCCTACTCATATTCCTGGGGGGGTCATAAAACCAGTGATATCATGATGAGTTGTCATGGTGACCAAGGGGGGATGGTGTTCAGCAGAAATCCTGGCATCCAGTTTATTGAGTGAGGGGACTGTGACGATTTGTTAATCTAATGAATAATTGATTTGTTAAATCAAATAAAAATGAGTGTGTCAGATTGGTATAGACGCTACAATTGTTAAAAAAGAAAAATATTAAAAAACATTTATGGTAACTGAATTAAAGCTGAAAATAAATAAATTACATATTAGTTGAAAAAAAAAACATTTTAAAAATGCTGCCTGATAATAATAATATAACAATAAAATGAAATATATATTTTTAAATGAATAGAAATTGCAAATCACAAAATTATTACAAATATCAGAATTATTAGAAAGTCTTAAATAATGATTAAATTGTTAAACAAACAAAAAAAGACAGAAATTACATAAATTTAAATATATATTTATTCATAAATACTATACTAGTAAACAAATAATACTAAAATAATAACACGGTATTATACTAACAACCCCTTCAATGTTTTACAGACCTGAACTTGCTGAAATTTTACAGACACTGGACTGCAATTTCGGAGTAATCAAAAACTTTTACACTTTATAAAACTATCCACAAACAGTTAAAGGTTAAATAACACTTTGGTCTGTACACAAGAAGTTCTGTGTCATTAGTTCTTGAAAATTGTACTTTTTTGTTGGATTTAAATAAATCTAACATTCTAACAATTGCAGTTTTGTGTGTTTAGGTTTATATTACATTATAATATTTCTAGAACTCATAATGAATAAATTAAGCATCTGGTGGACTGAGGTTATGAACTCCCCAGGTTATGACCTTGTAGGCACCTGCTACATGAAGGGTGACAACATATAGCTGTGATTACTGAATGACTGCATCAAAATAAATCAGATATACACTTGAAATGCATGTTTTATTGAGCGCTTGCCGACTCTGGTTAACTCGAATTTCCATCTGTAATGTAATTCCACCAATAATTCATCAACATCACTACACACAAACAATATAAGATAATATAACACAAAACACTTGACCACATCTGAAAAGATTATTTGCAGCTCAAGATAAATATTGATATTACCAAGCATGGCTGGTGAGAGTGACTTTAAGGGCACGAGCACTAGCTACACCGCTAAACGACAGTGACAGATGGCTATAAAATGGGTTTAAACGATCCGATTTAGTTCAGCCATACCTTCCTGCTTGCAGTACGACATGTCTGCTAACAGATCCGTCTGATCGCCGTTTATCCGATCAATGAATCTCAAACACCGGCACAATGATCAATTCACACGCCTGTTACATCAACCCAAGCATGGAAGCAGCTACGGCAACCACGTGACGCCACAGCCGGATTGTATCAAAATAAAAGTCACCATTACATTTCAAAATAAAGGTAAAGGAACGAACGCTTCCTTTGACCGAACAAGTGATTTAAGTTCGCTACTTTTCAAATGTACACATTCAAATTTATACGTACAGATTATATTGTTTTATCCTTTTCAAGACCCAGACTTAAGCCTTAAACTGTGAAAATGCATCTAAAACTAATTAATTCATTTCCGAACAAGTGATTTAAGTTCGCTACTTTTCAAATGTACACATTCCAATTTATACGTACGGATTATATTGTTTTATCCTTTTCAAGACCCAGACTTAAGCCTTAAACTGTGAAAATGCATCTAAAACTAATTAATTCATTTAAAAAAAAACGTATGATAATCCAAGCAAAGAGGCAAGTAAACACAAACTGCCATTGTTTACATTATGACATTTATTTATATACATTTTTCAAAAATTACGACTGTGTTGTGGTATCTTCACCACAATCAATATGTTTTTCCCCTATAAAGTTTGGGTAAGTGTTTGTACACCAAGGGACTGCATTGAAGAGCATGCCTGAGAGACACATGATGAACGAAAAAGACAAAAGAAAAATCATTTGAATTTGAATATCACTATTTTTTTACATTTTATTTTCAGTCAAGGTCTATTTGTTAAAATAGGGAAATGTTGTGACATTGTGTGCATTTAGGATAAATACACTGCTAGCTATGACATTGGCCTTAGCAAGACAAAGGTGTATATGCAATTTTTTATTTTATTATTTATTATTAAAAAATGACCCTCTAACACTAGCATCCTCTATTCTTTTGACTTGTTTTATTTATTTATTTTTAAAAACCTCTAACACTAGCGTTCCCTATTCTATCTAGGCTACTTATGTATTTGTTACAATAATAATAATTTAAAAAAAAAAATTGCTACATGTACTGCGTTAGGCTAACCGAGACTTGTCACAGCACTTACATATTATTGTCCTTTTGTTGGTTTTGATTGCTTCTGTTGTCCTCATTTGTAAGTCGCTTTGGATAAAAGTGTCTGCTAAATAACTAACTGTAAATGTAATTCTTCTAAAACAGGCTTGTGTATCGGCTGCCCAGTCTCTTCTTTATTACTTTGGAAATCTCAGTCTCTGGAGACTGAACAGTTGCAGCGGTTTTACTGTCATGCCCTCAGACTTCACTGACAGCTTGTCAGAAAACGGCTTGCTGGTGGCTCTGTTTAACTAATTATCCGAGGCAGCTGAGGTGAACTAGCCCTGTGCTTTTCTTGTCCTCATTTGTAAGTCGCTTTGGATAAAAGTGTCTGCTAAATGACTAACTGTAAATGTAATTCTTCTAAAACAGGCTTGTGTATCGGCTGCCCAGTCTCTTCTTTATTACTTTGGAAATCTCAGTCTCTGGAGACTGAACAGTTGCAGCTGTTTTACTGTCATGCCCTCAGACTTCACTGACAGCTTGTCAGAAAACGGCTTGCTGGTGGCTCTGTTTAACTAATTATCCGAGGCAGCTGAGGTGAACTAGCCCTGTGCTTTTTACCCACACACCTCATTATAGAAGACAGATCCTGAGGAACACAAACAGGACCTAAAACTTTTATTGGTATGTGATACGTTGGGTTGTTGTGAGGTTTTATACTTGATAGTTTTTAATGGAAAAAGTTTACTGGGGTTTGATATTGTATTACTGATTCTTAACTGTTAAAAAAATGGTGTAGAAACAGTTTTCACTTAGAACTTGCTATTATAGTTCACAAAAAATGCAATAAATTGGCAAGTAACCAATTACAACTTCGAAAAATCTTTTGTATAATGTAGTTTTTTACATGGTATTTCGGTATTAATTTACCACTAGGTGGCAGTATCTGTTGTTTATCACTGCTTAGCAGCTTAATGACAGTGATTCTTAAGTGGTAGTAGAGAAACGTCTGCTTTCTGTGGTTAATGTTGCTAAAATATAAAATTAATTTGAAAAAAAGGGAGATATTTTCCATCCACTTCATACACCTCTCCTGCTTCTACATCTTGTTTGTTGTTTCCTTTGGCTGGACACCGATTTAGACAGATTTGTGAACAATATTTGAGAGAAATAGGCCTTTTGTGTACATAGAAAAAGTCTTAGATCTTTGAGTTCAGCTCATGAAAAATGGGGGCAAAAACAAAAGTGGTTTTAAAACTAAATGAATGTAAAGAATGACTTTTTGTTTCCAAAAAATATTGTTTTCAACATTGATAATGATAAGAAATGTGTGTATATATACAGTGGGTACGGAAAGTATTCAGACCCCCTTACATTTTTCACTCTTTGTTATATTGCAGCCATTTGCTAAAATCATTTAAGTTAATTTTTTCCCTCATTAATGTACACACAGCACCCCATATTGACAGAAAAACACAGAATTGTTGACATTTTTGCAGATTTATTTGAGGAAAAAAAATTAACTTAAATGATTTAACAAATGGCTGCAATATAACAAAGAGTGAAAAATTTAAGGGGGTCTGAATACTTTCCGTACCCATTGTGTATATATATATATGTATATATATATAATCTGTTATGAAAAAGAGCTACATAAAATTTCTTCAGAACACCTAATTTTGTGTTACATGTAAAATAAAATCGTGTGGCTATGGCTTTGGAACTACATCAGAACTATTTCTTTAAAACGTTTTTCCTGAGCCTGTGTGGTCGGTTTAGCTGTAATTGGAAACTGTCTGGTCTGGTAAAGGCGCTTTAGGATATGATGAATATGAGAGATAATTATAGTGTTCTAATGCTAGAAATCCCTTGCTTTCATTTACAAAACAGCTCTACTGTGTGTGTAAAATAAATAGGGCATTCTTGAATTTATTGAAGCTGTGTAGGCGGTCTGTTACTTCCTTGGAGTGGTCTTGCTCTTTGACTGACTATCAGAATGCTTATGTAATTGCTTCTGTCTGTGTTGTGTTTGCTCATGTTTGGAATCGCTGGTCAAACTGTCTTTTTGTTATTTGCTACATGTGGGTGCAGACTGTATACTGCTGTATAGATATTAATTCTTAAAAACCCTTTAAGATAATGTAAAATTAAATTCAGTCTAAAGCAAGCAGTTAAAACAAAGGCAGATTTTCACAGATTGGTGGATGGCTGCCTTGCAATCTCACACTTTGCCTTCCTTCATACAGCTTCATAGAGTCCCCATGCGTTGCCTCATGCACGCTCTATTCCATTCTTCATGATCTGTCCACTGTGTTTGTCATCCAACCAGTGCAAGCCAGGCCATTGTGGATGGACAATTGTTTTTGTCACAAGAGAAAAAAAATCCCTATTGCGTTTGCACTGAGAAATACCATACATGTTGAATGGATGCTATGTTGTTTTGGAGAAATGCATTGAAATTCACCACACTCTTAAAAATAAAGGTTCTTTTTTTTTTTTTTTTACAGCGAAGCCATAGAATAGAACCCACTTTGGTTCCTCAAATCTTCGAGTGTACTTCAATATTTCAATACTTTAACATAGTAAATAACCAAGTCTGAAATTGAGGTTGGTTTCTGTGTGACCTTTATTTTTATTCTCTTGCCCAATGAACTTTTACAGCAGTTATGAATATAATTATGAGGTCTCCTTTTCCTCAACCTTTACAAGAAAAATAAAATTGCTTGGGTCTTGTCGTCAGATTAGTCTGGGCTCAGAAGTGTATTAATTTTCTTCACCTTTTTTCCATTTAACCCTACCCAGCTCTCCATATTCTCAATATAGTTTCAGTAGTGGCACTTTTATGCTTAGGGGCTGTTGAGGAATGTATTAAAAACGAACCTGAAACAAATAACCTGAATCAGTGCTCCCCATGACTTGTATTTAATTCTCCCTCATCTTGAAGCAGCATGGGGTCAAGCTAATATTTTATAGATTATAGTAAGTGCCTGTGGCGTTCCATGTTCTTTTCTTCAGTATGCACCAATAGTCTGAATGTCTGAAAAAGAGAATGTCTTGTATATTCATAAAAGCAGAACATAATGCTGTGAAAAATCCAAAAGATATCCAGGTGGCCGACATACGATACTAGTAGAGACCTCAAGCCATATCCAGAGTTATTGATTGTGGTTTTGTGGCTTTACAGCAGCTGTCTGTTCTCAGTGTATTTATGATGAATATTAAAACATTTCTCCACAACTGTCTGTCTGAGAATAAAATGTGATAATAGTCAATAAAGCGCTTTTAAGCTGTACTTTTGACATGATAAATGCAAGAACACATTGTTTTTTGACATTTTTTCCATACAGTTTATTCTGTCACATATCTATTATCTAATCCAGTGGTTCTTACTTCCAGTCCTTGCGTACCACCGCTCTGCACATTTTGTATGTATCTCTTATCACTTCAATTCAAACGTTTGTTCTATTCGACCGTAAGTGCCCTGCGAAGTGGAGATTACGGGAGATTCCGCCATGATTCCATTTTGAAGGGAGCGTACATGTTCCATTCAAAGGGCATTAAAGTGTGTGAGATGTGAATTTAAATTGTATTTATTTATGGAAGTATATTATTTCTCACTTCTCAAGTAAGTTTCGTCTGTGTGTGAAGACGCTGCAGGCCGTGGCATAGCGCAAATCCGTGAATGAATGTTCGTTCCAAAGTGAAGTAACTTCAAGGGATTTCCCGTGCTCAGGGAATAGGGAGAAAAGAACACCGTGTAGAGACAATGTCAATCGGAATGCAGTTCATGCATTCTTCTAATGAGCTGGTGATTAGAATCAGGTGTGTCATTTAAGAGAGACATGCAAAATATGCAGAGTGGTGGTACGCGAGGACTGGAATTGAGAACCACTGATCTAATCCATTGAGGCCTCTTTCCATGCTGAAGTGTCATCATTTTCTCTGTGCTAAAACTGCATTGGGCAGCTGATGACATCTTTGACTTAACAGGAAGACGTGTCTGTCATAACGCATTAAATCATTCACATCCTCCTCACAGCTGCATGAGCTTTGATGAAATCAGCAACAGTGCAACTTCAGATAACCTCTTTTTGCTTGGTCCTGCTTTTGCTCTCTTATTGCCAACGATTGTGGGTTTTGGTCCTATTTATCCCCCTTTTTTTTTTCTTTTTTTTTTATGTGCCATACATTAAGGCCAAGCTGGTTCATAATTCATGTTTTGGGGTTCAAATCTGTGTGCTGCCTGAATTTTCAGGGAGAGGAAAAGGATAACATGCAGTCCAGCAATAAATAAAACAGGTGGTGGAAAATGGGTCAGACAAGGCTTTTACTAACTTATCAAACAATAAATCAGTATGTGCTGTTGCTAAAGTGTTCTGAGTGGTTGTTAGGGTGTTTCTATGTGGTTACATTAATGTTTTGGGTGGTAACTATGGTGTTTTTTTCTGGTAGATAGGGAGTTTCTATAGTGATTTCATTGCTTTGCTGTGTGGCTGAGATTGTGGTTCCAGGACTTTGCTAATGTCTGTGGTTGCTAGGGTGTTCTGGTTGGTTGCTAACTTGGTAGGGTGTTGCTATGGGGTTGCTATGGTATTCTGGGTGGTTACTAGTATAGTTCAAGGGCTTTGCTATGTGGTTGCTATAGTTGTCTAAGGTGTTGCTATGGTGTCCTGGGTGGTTGCTAGGGTGTATCTACGTAGCTGCTATTGTAGTTCTAGGATTTGGTTATGTGATTTTTATTGTGGTTCCAGCATTATGCTAAGTGGTTGCTATGGTGTTCTGGATGGTTGCTAACTTGCTATAGTGTTGTTATGTGGTTGCTGTGGTGTTCTGGGTGGTTGCTAGGCTGTTGCAATCATAGGTTGCAGGGCTTTGATATGTGTTTTCTGTTGTGGTTCCAGGGCTTTGCTAATTTATGTGGTTGGTGTTCTAGGTGGTTGCTAGGGTCGGGTGTTGCTGTGTGGTTGCTAGGGTGTTATGTTGTTCTGATCACTTAGAAAACAAATAACACATCTCTTTTCAACAAAGCAGAATTTTCGAGTTAACATTTATATCTGTCATGCAAGAAACTTGAAAAACGGCTCCAATGAAGTTTGAAGAACACTGTTAACATTGAGTTTCCTTGTTAATGACATAGAAGAATGAGCTCAATTCTGAGTTTTGTTTCCCACTTACAATTCAGATAGCCATCTATCTAATGCTGCGTTCAAGTCCTCCTGGGACGTTCGTACTTGCGAGTTGACAAGTCGTAATTACGACGTCAGGTGCGTTCAAGTCAGTTTAGTCGGCACAAGATGGCGGTGTACCTTCTTTTAATAAATTACAAGAAAATACAATAGGGTCTGCATTTTTTTACTTGGATTTCAGCTGCGTAACATGAACATGACCAATTTAAGTTTATAGGACAACTAAACTATCAATTTAAACAAACATTTACCGTCAACTACAGACGTTGCATCCATCGATTCCGCCATGTTTCTCATTGACACGCCCCCACTCCGAACCTCTGGGCTTAAAGAAAAGTTCGAGTTTCCCACTCGTAATAACGACTTTGTGGTGGAGTTCACGTGCGTTCAACTCGTAAATACGATCTATCCGACATGACTTGAACGCACCATCAGACAAAGAGGAACGCTGAGCCCATCAGTCTTTGTGTTAGTGCTGTTCTCTGCTAATCTGAGCCCCATCTGATTTGTTCTCATAGAATGGAAAGGTTAAGGTCTTTTTAAGGACAACAGTTCTCAAATGAATGTATGCCAGTGTCCCTGAGAGGCCACCGAATCCCTTGAGGAAGTGGGACACTGTTGTGAAACATAGATAGTCACATGAGGGCATTTGATCCTCGCCGCTTCCAAAGAGATTGATTTACCAGAAACAATCATTAGTTACTATGGGTTGCAAGCAGAGACTCTGCTATTGGACACGTGTTTCTCTTTCAAGATCCCTGAATAGTTGACAACAGATGAAAGGAGCATCACATTAGCTTATAGATGTAATGACATCACTTGTTTCTAGAGTGTTGCCAGAGCATTTCTTTGCAGTTGCTAAGGCGTTCTGAGTGGTTGTTAGTGTTGCTATGTGCAGTGCTGGGTAGATTACTTACTGTAGTCCATTGCTGATTCCAAATTACATGACAAAAATTGTAGATAGTAACATAATCCATTACATTACATATTTAATCAGACTACTTTTTGATTACTTTTAGATTACTTTTGACCTAACTCATTTATCACATTGATTTAAATTAGATAATCTTGTATCATTTTGATATAAAAATACAAAGAGAAGGAACATATATTCCATTTGTTGTTGCTAACAATATGATGTGCTTTAAAAGTTGGCTTCCCAAACTGGGGTTCATGAAGGAACTACAGGGTAAATATTATAATATTTACAAAAAATTTTGTAAATCCAGTGGTCAAATGCTGTGTGGCCCCTCAATTTTCTGTGCAATTATAGCCACCTGACTGGTAACTCTATTGTGTGAATAATATGTAATCAATGAAAGTACTGTATAGTCTTTATACAAGTGTTTTAAAAATGTAATGTAATCTAATTACAAGTACTTAATTTTTGGAATCTGATTATGTAATCCAGGTTACATGTAATCAAGTTACTACACAGCACTGGCTAGGTGTTTTGGGTGGTTACTAGGATGGTGCTATCATGGTTCCAGGGCTTTGCTATGTGATTACTATAATGTTCAGTGTGGTTGCTAAGGTGTTGCTATGTGATTGCTATCATAGTTCCTTCCGAGGCTTTGCTGTGTGTTTGCTATTCTAAATGAATCTAAATAGATTTTTGTGGCTTTTAGTTCTTGTCTGTTAGTTTTGAATCTACTGACCAATAATAAAAAAAAGGACTAGCACTTTGATATGTTCCACCCTAATTTCCTGTTTCAGTATGCCAAGCGCCTTTAACACTCTCACTTGTACCTTTGACTGTGGCCCCTCAATTTTCTGTGCAATTATAGCCACCTGACTGGTAACTCTATTGTGTGAATAATATGTAATCAATGAAAGTACTGTATAGTCTTTATACAAGTGTTTTAAAAATGTAATGTAATCTAATTACAAGTACTTAATTTTTGGAATCTGATTATGTAATCCAGGTTACATGTAATCAAGTTACTAAACAGCACTGGCTAGGTGTTTTGGGTGGTTACTAGGATGGTGCTATCATGGTTCCAGGGCTTTGCTATGTGATTACTATAATGTTCTGTGTGGTTGCTAAGGTGTTGCTATGTGATTGCTATCATAGTTCCTTCCGAGGCTTTGCTGTGTGTTTGCTATTCTAAATGAATCTAAATAGATTTTTGTGGCTTTTAGTTCTTGTCTGTTAATTTTGAATCTACTGACCAATAATAAAAAAAAGGACTAGCACTTTGATATGTTCCACCCTAATTTCCTGTTTCAGTATGCCAAGCGCCTTTAACACTCTCACTTGTACCTTTGACCTAATTGAACTTGGACTGGTTTAATTTATTGTGCAAGACAAATCTAGACACATTACACAGGCATAATTCCTCACATCCCTTCCCCGCTGACCCTTTGGAACAGTCTGTCCTCGGGTGGCTCTGTTCTGTAGCTTTAGTGATCTGGCTTCAGTTCAGTGGGAACTTGAAGAGGCTTTGGGTTTCTCAGTGGAGGGTGTTGAGCACCCTGAAGTCACTGTCATTTTTCCTTGTCTGTGATTATGTTATGACCCAGGAAAGAAGTGTTTTGTGCGTCAGCATTAAACATTGAATAGGATACAAGTATACACATAAAAATTTTTATTATAGACCTCATCCCACCAGTGGTTTGAAATAGGGTGTTTTGAGTAATAACAGGGTCTTGTTACAGGGTCTCCTGATGTCCACTTACACTGATGATCAAGGTTTTTATAGCAAACATATAAATACATACATTACAGTTCAAAAAGAAAATAGTCACTTATGCTCAGAAAGGCTGCATTCATTTGATAAAAATACAATAAAGCAGTAATACTGTGAAATATTATTACAATTTAAAATAACTGTTTTGTATTTTAATATATTTTCAAATGCAATTTATTCCTATATTTATTGCTAAATCTTCAGCAGCCTTTACTCCAGTCTTCAGTGTCACATGATTTTTCAGAAATCATTCTAATATAGTGATTTGCTGCTCAAGAAACTTTTCTTCTTATTATTATTAATGTTGAAAACAGTTGCACTGCTTAATATTTTTGTAGAAACCATGATGCATTTTTTCAAAATAAATATATAGTTCAGTCATGAAACTCTAGATGGTGCATTCTGACGGGGTGTTAACGTAACTGATGATATTCAGAGAGTTAAACGACTTGGCACAAGCTGATTGGTTCATGCTGCATATGCAGCCAATGAGCTTACTGCCTTGGATTTATATGGCTGGCTAGCATTCACTTGAGATTCCTGCAGCGCACTTTCAGAGTTCTCTGAATCCCTCCACCTTCCCCAGCTCCACCTGTATAGATCTGCTACGGGGTTCCGCAATTCAGCAGCAGCGTAGCAGATCTGTTCCGCCAAGACCAAATACATTAACATTGTCATATCCATCACCATGCTAAAATGTTCCGAGAGTTGTCATGATTGAAATGATTTATTTGAAATAGAAGTCTTTTGTAACATTAGAAATGTCTTTAGCGTCAGTTTTAATTAATGTGTTCTTGATTAATAAATAAAAAAACTTGTATACATTTTATATATAATCCCACAGGTCAAACACTCTCTCTCTCTGATCTGTAGGATTAAATGGGCAGTTTTTAATACTTTGCTTTGATGCTCCTATATAAATTCCATGGAGGTCAATAAAACAAGAAAGCTATCAGTTATCATTCCTGTTCTTCTCAATGGCAATAACTTAGCTGATGAAAATCTAAATTGAGCCCAAATCTCCTACAACGGTATGGAAACAGGGTGTTTCAACACCACATGAAGCACTTTTAGCCATTTTTTTGCTCAGTTTGACTGAAAGCAACAGTGTTTTTTTTTTGTGTAATGTGGGCTGTTATGTGTTAGTGTATTCATATGTTTGATATCAGTTAGTTGTAAAAGTAAAAGTGTTTTCATAGTGCATTAAGCTCTTTTATTTCCAAGGATCAATGAAAATGAGATTTTTCATTGTGTGATCCATTTCTGCATGTGTTTATTGGTGTTTGAGACATTTTGGCTTCCTTTGAATGTCCCCAATAACCCTAAAACAGATGAGACACAAAGAAAAAATGTAATACTGTATATAAAAAGCCATGTAGCAGTGATTCAAGCCGACAGTTCATCTCATATGGTTCCTGCAGCTGTCTAAATGGACAACATCTGAACCCAATAAACTCTATAAAGCGCAGACACAGACTTCATTTGTGGAAGATAACTTTTTTTTATTTATTTTTTAATCTGGTTTTACCTGTGAGACTCTGTGGGGTTGCATTTTATCCGCTCTAGCACTGTGAATTTACTTTTGCTTCAGATTGTCTCGCTAGACAGCCATGTTTTAGAGACTCGAAGCTCTTTGCCCTAAAACTACTTGACCTGATTTTTTTCTCAGTAACCAAATCCACTGGCTAAACTCCAGGCTTTGCATTCATTTTCTGTGTAAATTAAAACTTTTAATTTAAAATATATCAGATCAACATAACAGGATGTTACAATTGGAGTATCATAGTTCAGAGACCAATTGTTACCACCTGCATTTGTTGCTACAATCACAGTGTTTGAATTGAATTGAATTGAAAGGAAAATGAGTGTTTGTACATGAGCGCACAGGGTAATTACAAAGCTTTTATGTAACCTCTTATTTCAGAAATACTATTTTGGGTATAAAAACAAAATGTGCTTTGAGCTTTGGACAAACTGATGACACTGGCAATTTGTCATGCCAATACTTGTTTTCAAGACACCAAGGTTATTATTGCTCATGTTTCTCACAGTTTTACTACTGCAGATTCTTGTTTCTCCCACTAAATGTTCCCCTCATATGATGCTACAATGGATTTGGTTGGAAAAGACTCTTTTGTATAGCTTTCTCAGTGGGAGCAAGACTGGGTTTTGGTTGTCTTAAGTCTTTCTAAGAGGCAGTTTGTGTTTTTTGGCTCTCACATTCTTCTCGTGTGTGCGTGATGTTTTGGCTGGAATAGTCAATATATGGTATTTGGACAAATTAATTTCATTGCATTAGATTATAAAGTATCAAACCAAGTGGAACTAACGTCCAATTATTGTAATTATTTGTATTTATTTATTTTTTAAATGCGACGTTCAACATTTTTATTGGTGATTTTGATGTTTGGTTGGTATATCCACAATAGATATGATGGATTTGGCTTGTGTGAGGTGCACTGTTACTGATTTGAAGGCCTGAAACAGAATCAGTCACCTGACAGAATCAGACCTTGTGTTTTCTGCAGCATTTCCCTTTCATTTTAATACAGTAAAAACTTGTCACATAATGTTCCCTTTGCACAGTTCGGTTGTTATGCATCATGACCAAGGTCTCAATAATTTATAAATTCATAAATTAAGTTTATTGCTTTGAAAAATTTGTTCTAGGCATCCTTGAAAAGTCTTGTAAATTATTTCTGAATGGCTTTGAATAAATTGTACAGTGGGTAGGTGGTGGCGTAGATGAGGTCATATTTACCGTATGAACTGCATCACCTCACTGAACTGTGCTTCTATTTCCAGCAGAGTCAACATCAGCAGGTTCATCTATAGCTTTCCGTAAGTACCTTCACTTTTGTTGTTTTGTACATTTCCAACCGTCCCTGGTTTAAATTTAGTATGTTTTTATGTCTGTTTATATTTGTTGACTGTGCCATAATCTTTGAAATCTGGACTTGTTCAGGTTTTCATTTGTGCTTCACTTTCAATCGAATTCCATCTGCACTCTTGGGGCCCCTCGGGGCCTCCTCATCAAGTCTGAGCCCTAATGGAGGTGCACCTGGCCTGCTTGCGGAATTCCGCACACGGGGTGGAACAATGCTTAGCGGTTCTTTGTTCCCAGTGGAGCATCCGAGCACAGCGGCACGGGCCATGTGAAGACCTGAGGGGGGGAGCGAGGGGGTTTGAGTGGGTGGGTGGGGGGTTCTGCTCTCTGAACTTACTCTGTGAAAGTGATCTCTGACCTTTGATATCCAGAGAAGAACAACAAACATGACGTTTGTGGTATTACAGATGTCTAATGTTGATAAACCGTTCAAAGACTGATTGTGCTGCTGCTGTACACTGTATTATGCAATGTTCAGAGGTGCTGCACCTTCTTTTGTTCCATTTCTTAGCACTAGATCTGAGAGCTTTTTATAGTAACCTGAAATAACCTTCAAAGTGTTTGCTGCTAAAATTATTAATTACCTTTATCTTTATAAGTATATAGCTTTTATTTGTTTGCTTAAAATTATATATGTAGTTTTTATTATATTTTGTATTTTATTATTATTATTTTTTAATTATCATATTTTTGAGTCATGACCTAATGGTTAGAGAGTCTATCTTGTATCCCAAAAGTCGCGGGTTCGAGTCTCGCTACTGGCAGGGATTGTAATTAACATTAAATTGAATAACCCCCGTAAAGGGATAATTCACCCAGAAACAAAAAGGCTGTCATCATTTATTCACTCTCATGTTGTTCCTGATTTATTTCTTCTGTGAAGCACAAGATGGTATTTTGGGAAGAAATAAATAAATAAATAATAATTCAATGGGGTCCAATGTTGTTTCCGCAGAAGAAAATTGTGTCACAATTGTGTTCCACAGAAGAAAGTAAGTCATGCTGGTGTGAAACCATATGAGAGTGATTAAGTAAGTTTCAAGTTCAAGTTTCAAATTTATAATTATTTTGGGTCAACTATTCTTTTAAGGTATGATGCAGTCACTAATTTCTGCATTTACATAATATGATACAAAAAATACAAAATGCTAATGACATTTTATGTCTTCATGAACACATGGCCAATTTAGCTCAGCTATGTAATATGAATTCGTAATGTCTTGGTTTTAAGGCATGACGCTATATAGCTTTTATTTGTTTGCTTGAAATTATATATGTAGTTTTTATTATATTTTGTATTTTATTATTATTATTATTTTTTAATTATCATATTTTTGAGTCATGACCTAATGGTTAGAGAGTCTATCTTGTATCCCAAAAGTCGCGGGTTCGAGTCTCGCTACTGGCAGGGATTGTAATTAACATTAAATTGAATAACCCCCGTAAAGGGATAATTCACCCAGAAACAAAAAGGCTGTCATCATTTATTCACTCTCATGTTGTTCCTGATTTATTTCTTCTGTGAAGCACAAGATGGTATTTTGGGAAGAAATAAATAAATAAATAATAATTCAATGGGGTCCAATGTTGTTTCCGCAGAAGAAAATTGTGTCACAATTGTGTTCCACAGAAGAAAGCAAGTCATGCTGGTGTGAAACCATATGAGAGTGATTAAGTAAGTTTCAAATTTATAATTATTTTGGGTGAACTATTCTTTTAAGGTATGATGCAGTCACTAATTTCTGCATTTACATAATATGATACTAAAAATACAAAATGCTAATGACATTTTATGTCTTCATGAACACATGGCCAATTTAGCTCAGCTGTGTAATATGAATTCGTAATGTCTTGGTTTTAAGGCATGACGCCAGTGGTCCCAATTAACATAAGCCCAAAGTTTTCACTGTCAGACATAATTAGTATTTTGCTACTGTTTGGTAGTACAGCCAGCTTCTGTGCAACAAGCCACGTGGCAAATATTTCCAAGACTACAGTATGAAAGCATGGTCTAGACGAAAATCTCTGCAGTATTACTGCAAACTTACACCTAACACAGTAACCTGGCCACATAATCCTGATGGTTTCTGATTAAAATAACAAAATAAAACATTCAGTTTGTTTTCGTTGTTTAAAAAACTGAGAGAGGGATTATGCAATCATTCCAACAAGATGTGATTAGAATTTTGTATTGTAAGGGTTTCCGAGAAATGTCTCTCTCTCTAGAACAGTATAAAAAGGCCCTCCCCCTTCACAACTCGGGGTGGGCTGTAAAAACCGACCTTGATTGAGTTTGATCATTACGTCCAACAACAGGATAGCACAACATGTTCAATGGAGTTAATTATCTGTGCTGGATTTTTTCCCCTCCTCCCTCGTTCTCTTAATTAGGGGTGCTGGTCCAAGCTGCAGCAGTGACGTTACTGTACATCCCCATTTTTACCTTGTTGACGGTTGCATCATACAAAAAGAGTCACAGTGCTGGTTAACGGAAATGTGTAACGGATCTGAATTTACACGAGTAGTGCATGTTGTGGGTGGGATATGCAGCCTACTTGTGTCTAAAGTAATTATCTCACACTGTGTGGCCTGCGCCTTTTGCAAACATGAATCAAAACAGGAGTAGCCTACAATCAGAGATTTAGCTGTAGTGCTTTCACTTTTAAACAACTGAAAAATATTAAAACATAAGATCTTGTGCTTTTTCATGTTTAAATTGTCCCTTTTCCTTTTTTCATCTTTTGTTAAAACATCTAAATCAAACATTAAATCTAGATCGTCTTTTACAACAACAGAATCATTTTAATCTCGTGGAAAAATACTGTAGTTTCAAGGTAAACAAAAAACTTCTTTAAGAAGCAGGCTTTTATTACACAAAGCATTTGTATTGAATGGAATAGAAAATAAATTCCTTTGGAATCTTCCGTCTCAGATTAGAATTCAGAATAGCATACTATTAAAAAAAAATTAAAATCAAAGTTATAAACAAAGATTACTAGAGTATGTTTTACAAAAAAATACTTTTTCAGTTTTTATGCTTCAAAATTTCATGTTTAATTCAGTGTTACCATTTGTTTCTTTGTAATTTATTATGAAATTTACTACCACTTTCTGAATTTTTTTTAAAGTAAATCCTACACCATTTTTCATTGTAGCATGCTACTCTCACTATTTATGCCATATCTAAGTAGGAGCAGCATGCTGTATGATATTTTACTTAATATGAATTATAGTAAAAAAAATAAAAGCCTGCATACAATATCCTTTGAGAAAAAAATATTCAAAATGTTTTAATCATAAAAATTCAAAAGTACTCAGTGCACACCAAACAGGGCACAAAAAAGGTGCAAAGACTAAACATTTTTTTATATCATATCATAATCAGTGTTACAGATTACGCATAATTTCTCATTTATAGATCATTTACTGCACATTTCTAAAAACAAATTCACCTTTTTTCTCATCAAAAATATACATTCACAATAAAAAATAATCCTCAAACATATTAAATGTATACATACACAAACAGACTTTTTTGAAAGAAAAATACCATATCATGTTAAATATGTATTTCAAAGTACATATAGAAACATTAAAAGTCCCCTCATACTTAAAAAAGTCTGAATATGAATTCTCATAATTCCTGGTGAGGTTGTTAAGGATGATAAGGATATGAGTATTTCAGTCACCGGCTGTGCGGAGGTACACAGTGGCCCCTTTAACTTTCCCCCAAAGGCTGTCCGGAGATCCTCACTGCTGTGCTACATGCGTGATATGGACGCAGCTGTACTGACGCACCTGGGACCAGTACAGCAGGGCACAGTGGTTGGGGATATGCCTCTGCCTTTAAGATCTCGCTCCCCATAGCCACAGCACTGTGTGACATCCACACTCAATATTAAACTGGCCTTTGAAGTCATTGAATTGTTAGGGATTTGTCGTTATTGTATATCCTTGCTATGCGGCCACATGCCAGATATAAGACTTGTCTGTTATTTCCTTTATGAATAGAGCAATATGTTGCACACATGCTGTCACCCCTTCTATAGTCAGTCTAAAACATGCACACATACAGTGTTAGATGCTGCTTACCTCTCCAATAGCTTACAGGCTTAAAGGGGTCATATGATGTTGCTAAAAAAAAAGTATTTTGTGTATTTGGGGTAATGAAATGTTTATGCGGTTTAAGGTTAAAAAAACACATTATTTTCCACATACATTATTGTTGCTCCTCTATGCCCCGCCTTTCTGAAACGCGTCGATTTTTACAAAGCTCATCGGTCTGAAAAAGCGAGGTGTGCTCTGATTGGCCAGCTATCCAGTGCGTTGTGATTGGCCAAATACATCAAGCGTGTGACGGAAATGTTACGCCCCTTACCATATTGTGATGCTCTGTCCGGCCAGAGCGACGAGACAAAAACATTAAAACCCATTATAAACAAGGCATTTATTGCATCCAGTGGGGACATAATTACAGATTATAATGACTTATACTGTCTTTTTACGGGTTGCATTGCATCGCGCCGCGTAAAAATAAAACCATATCTGCATTTGTGATCAGAGAAATGACAAACAACAAGCGCTACTCTACACTGCTCAAAACTCACGTTTGAATCATCAGTGGCAAATTCTTTAAATATAAAAAACGTACTTACAGTCTGTGAGTCAGAACAGCCGGCATTGTAGTCTACTCTACCAGGATCAGGAAATAGTCCTCCATAAAATGTGCTGCACACATCTGAATATTTGGGTTGAAGTGTTCTGGAACAGTGTTGTAAATACAACTTAACCACTGATTTCTAGTCGTGTCCTCTTTTGGAAGGCCAAACAAAATAGCTTTCACAACGAAACACAGCGTCACACACGGCGAGCTTGAGTGAGCGGAGGCAGGCGGCCTTGAGAACGGCGTGGCCGGCGGATTCGACAAAGGAGTGGCCGGCAGGCTTGCGGCAACCACACATGACGACCCCGGGCTGGACTACACTTCGTCCACGGTGAAAGCCGATCCGGCGATCCACAGCGCGAAGTTGCTGTATTTCCTCAGCGACCAGTACGGATCAGCTCCAGGCATGACGAAGCGGATATCGTCCTCTTTTGGGAGGCCAAACAAAGTAGTTTCGCTTTCACAACGAAACACACAGCGCCTTCATGACATGGCGGAAAGCGGCAACAATACTACAGCGAGAATAAAAGTTACGCCTTCTTTCTTTGCGTGAACATTTGGGCGGCGTTATGCAAATCTTCCCCCATCGTGATGTAGATATGTGGGGGCGTGTTAGAACGAGCCGTTTTAGGAGGGCGTGGTTGACTCTTAACTTTTATAAAGAATATCTCTTTGGATTTGAGACTTTAGTCTTTGCAGCTTTACAGATCTTCTTTATGCACCAAGAGCTTGTAACACTCCAAAGAGAAAGGAAAAATTGAAATCGCATCATATGACCCCTTTAATGGATCCCATAATGACCTGTATCTGAATCCAAATTAACCACAATTTTTTCTAATCAACAGAATGCACATGCTGTAGAAAATCTGAGCCAAAAAAAGAAGAAGCAATTTGCTGTTTTACACCACATCCAAATCATTACAGGATGAATTGCGGAGAATTTAGTGGCAAACATGTTAACAGATTTTTCAGATTATATATTCAGTTGTCTAGCAAAATTGTAATGTGTGAAAGTTACCCTGAATATCAAAATATAAAAATTTAAATATTAAGCATTTGAAGTACATATTGCATAATTTTAGAATGTTGACACCCCCTTCTAAATTACTTCTAAAAAAAACTGTTACTATTTTGCCAAATTTCAGAGATATTATTATAAATTGATCAAAATCATATTTAGCCTGTGTATTTTAATTATACTTAATACAATTATTTTTAAAGTGACAGTGAGACAGGTGCAGCATAGATAGATAGATAGATAGATAGATAGATAGATAGATAGATAGATAGATATTTGATGCGCACAGTTAGATGTGATGTCAGTTTTCAGCATTTGGTATGACCATACACGGCTCGTGTCTGTTTTCTCGCGTCCATCAGCACTCCATCAGCAGCACAGCAAGCGAGCGGTGGCGGGTTGTGTGGGACTGAATTCTGACGTCGCCCCTATATACCTAGTAAACCAATCAAATGCGAGCGGGCGACGCGACGCTCCACACGCTGAACGCACCCGTTATAATCAGCGCACGCACTACAGGCTTCAAGGGAGCGTTGCGTCCAGTGTGTGACGAAGATTCCATTGAATGATTTGATTGGTCGCGGCTCGGTCTAGACAATCGGAGGCGGGGAAACTGAAGATTCGTTACAGCCCACTTTAAAAACCCGTCAAAACCGACTCACGGGCTCCAAGGCAATGAGAATAAGGGCAGTAATTCATAGAGGACGGTCCTCACATCCCCATCCTCAAGTTTTGTGGCGTTACATGTTTTATCTGAGGTAAACTACGGGGAGAGCTTCATCTGAAGGACGTTTCTCAGTAATTCATCACCATCAAAGAAAATCCGTCCGGTAAGACTGAACGTTTTTAATATTATAATGTTGTTCATATAATTCATTTCATCTGTCATAGATACAATACACGTCGTGGTTTCCCATATTTTTAGTCTTTTGCGACACATTTTAGTCGTGGTCTTGTAACAATGACATTATAATTCCTCAAAGGACATATGCAAAACTATTGCCCCTGTGACTAATGAACGCCTTAAACACGTGTTTCTAAATATACTCATTTGTTATACTCATTGTGTGATTTATTTAAATGTCAGTGTGTAGGCTAAATACTTTCTGTCGCTTAGTAACAGCAGAAACTTTCCTGTCTGTTAAAATGTCTCAAATCCTGGTGCGGTGTCTACCTAGACAGCATTTCTGGGCATCCTAGGTGCGCGTGCAGATGTAAAAACGAAATCATAATCCGCTGAATTTAGTGATTCGTCTTCGATGCCCCAAAAAGTGTGCACGCGCACATGATACCTAAATATGCTGTCTAAGTAGACAGCTCAGAGACACAGTCAATAACACTGAATGTCAGTGTGGTCTACTGCTTGTAAAAAAATAAATAAATCTATATTAGTTTGTATTATCTATATTAATAAAAGTCAATATTATTAATATTTTTAAAAAAATGTTTATTCGCCAAAGAGCAAAGTGTAACCAACATGCAGAAAGCATTTTCTTTGTGGTTTGAAAATTGTAGAATAAGAGGAAAACCCCTTTAGATCCTTATGACTGTGTGTCAAGGTCAGTAAATAGTTAAAAATCAGATATTTATGATTTTTATAAAAAGGCACTTTTTCAAAAAGAAAAAAAAATGGAAATCTTGGATCTTCCTGAAAATATTATATTATAGATTCTATTATAGATTCACTTTCTAAGAACTAGCTGCCTGGTGTAAGTTTATAACTAGTAAGTTTATACCTCACCTCTCTCTGTCATCAAAGTTTTTTTTTTCAGGCTTCATGTTAAGACTCACTACATGAAAGTTTCAGTGTATGAATGGACAGGAGTTACTTGTGTTCCTGTGTGCACCTGTGCCTTTGTGTTGTATCGTCCCAGAGCGTCTGGGTAGCAGATGCGACCCAGCAGAAGTGACCTAGGTGAAGCCGAGATATTCAGTATGGTGTGTTCACTCTGCAGGTGTCAGGTGGTTGAGGTGGTAGATTAAGGCACAGAAGGTGCTGTGCTCTAACCAGTGATTAGCTGAGGAAGAGAGAAAGCATGATTTCCCTGTCTCTCTCTCTCCTTCTCTTCCTTTCTGTTTAGGTCTGTGCAACCACGGGGGCGTTAGACAGAGCATAATAAGCACATCTTGACTTCAAAAGAATTGATTTCATTTGAATGCACCTCATCTTAGATGTCTTAGGCTTGTTCTTCCTGTGTCCCAGTTATCTAAAGTGACACTTCACAAATCAAGATAACAGGTGAATACATGAAATATGATTCTTATGTGCACATAGACCTGTTTATCTTATTGTATGCCCCCGAAATATACAGAAATGTCATTGGAACAAGCCCTTAGGACACTCAGAAAAACTAATCAAGTTTAGAGTTGTTTAAAAGGTGGTTCAATGGGAAATGCCTCAACGAAGGTTATTTATTCTTATCCTAAGGCATTTTGGGATGGCTATTTATTTTGTATTTGATATAGAATTCAATTTAAGTGTGATGTGAAGTCACACATTAGAGGTGATTTACTAGGACGAGGGGTCAGATCTGAACCATGTTACACTCTAAAAAATGCTGGGTTGTTTCAACCCAATGTTGGGTCAAATATGGACTAACCTAACTGTTGGGTTAAATTTTGGTTACATTTTTAAATGAACTTTTTAACCCAACAGTTGGGTTAGTCCATATTTGACCCAACATTGGGTTGAAACAACCCAGCATTTTTTAGAGTGTAACCATAGTAGATTAGTCTGATGTTTGTGATATCAGTGCAGCTGGTTTTTAACTGCTCCTGAATGAAAATTATTACAAATAAACATTATTTATTTGCTTAGTATGCGTGAAATGCGAATAATAGTGTGCTGCAAGAGAGTTTTTATCCATAAAGACGCATGGTTTCACGACTCAAGGTGACTTTGTTCTTCTTAAAGGAATATTTCCCCCCAAAATGAAAATGTACTCACTGTCGGCCCTTCCAAGATGTAGATGAGTTTGTTTCTTCATCAGAACAGATTTTAAGGAATTTAGCATTACATCACTTGCTCACCAGTGGATCCTCTACAGTGAATGGGTGCCATCAGAATGAGAGTCCAAACAGCTGATAAAAATACACAATAATCCACAAGGAATCCACATGACTCCAGTCCATCAGTTAATGTCTTGTGAATTGGAAATTTGCATGTTTGTAATAAACAAATTGCTTCCAAGTTCATAATAATGCTTCCTCCAGTGAAAAAGTCATCATGTTTGAATCAGGAGAGAAATATGCACAGATCAAGCACCGTTTATAAATTAAAACAGTCCAAGCCATTATAAAAACAAATTTGTTGGTGGATTTTCACTGTTGTGAAAGGACAACAGGGGATGGACTTTTTCATCAGCTGTTTGGACTCTGATTCTGACGGCACCTATTCACTGCAGAGGATCCACTGGATCCAATTTCTCCAAATCTAGAGAAACAAACTCGTTTACATCTTGGATGGCCTGAGAGTGAGTACATTTTCAGCAAATCTTCATTTTTGGGTGAACTATTCCTTTAATGTAATTTTTTTTAATATTTGTAAGATAGTAGATCATTTATTGATGGACATAATTTTGGGCCTATATCATTCATTTCAAATTCCCAGAGCTTTAGATTCAGAAGCTGCATAACATCATTGATTAGCACTCTTTATGCGTGTTGCTGGATAGAATAAGACTATAGAGCCAAAAAGAAAGAAAGGACGTTATTAAACAGATACAGCACAGCTGGTCTGTTATCACTGGTTCTGTTGAAAGCACTTCACATCCCAAGCAGATTGTGAGTGTTGATGTGACAGCTCTCAGTAGGGTCAATTGTGTGCCTGGAGTGGGTTGAAAACATAGACAGGACCTCCATTACTGCACAATGTAAGACGTCTATTGTATGAAGCCCCACTTGCGGATACTTGTTTTGTTTCACAATTTATATAAACATTTATAGTAACCAAGTCATGCTTGTGCGTCACTGAGGTTTTAAACTGATTCTTGTTAATTATTAAGTATGGACGAGCGGGGAGTGTTGTAACATGCAGTGAGTTGTAACGCAATCTGTTTATCCAATTAGAAATGTGCTACATGGTGATATCATATGTGACCAGGACCCTCCTAAAGAAATAGCATAAGTTGTAAAAGTCAAGCTGCATCCGAAATCATGATTACCTATGATAAATCTATGATTTCAGATGCAGCTTGACTTTTGTCATGTTGCCTTTGTCATGTGATGATCAGTGTCGCTTCACTGCCATTCATAACTCCTTTACCGTGGCTTCGGATAGTAAAATGTCTATCGAATGCACACACCAGAATCTCTGCGGTAGTGGTAGGTCATCAGGGTACTTTTCACCTACTACTATTTTTTGAATGCTATGAATTCTGGCATAGTCTTTTCACATACTGTTTTCGCCTATTATATTGTATGGAAGCAGGCATATTCAGACTAGGGTTGGGTACCGAATGTAATGTATGTAACTGGTATGTACTAGAACCGAATCAGAACGCAGATTTCGGTGCCTAATTTCGGTGCCACTTAAATGCTTGAGCGATCGATTGAAATATTTGTTATCCGAAACGGACGTAAGGATCACCGGCACCGCACGTGAAAAATAATTTGTCGACTGAGAAAATTCACGAAAGCAAGTCGGAAAGGGAAATGAGAGCATCCGAGGAGCGCGTGAATGCAATCATTACACTTGCTCTGATGGCAGATGGTAGATACCGTTAGCTAGCTAAGCTAAACATTCTTAAATTAAAATGCCTAAAGCTAGGGTGACCATACGTCCTCTTTTCCCCAGACATGCCCTCTTTTTGGACCTACAAAAATGCATCCGGCCGGGATTTCTTAATTGCCCAAAATGTCCGGGATTCGGCTGTTTTCTTAATCGTTGAATCTCTGACCACTGCCGCCTGCTCCTGCAAACATGTGTTTCACTGATATTTTCGTGTCCACTCCTTTAAACATTCTAATATTGTGTATAATTTTGGCGCATCAGGGAGTCGCTCTCAGGATGCAGTGTATTTAAATATTTTTGAATGAGCGTTTGCGCTGTTTACGTCCACTTTCAATTTCGCGAACACACACACTCTGTGTAAAGGGAGCACATCTTACAAGATACTCAAGCATGGTCTTGTCAGTCATCTCTCCTTATTCTCGACCTGTGATCAGTCAAATCTGACTCCGGTAGCTCTTGTTGGATGCAGGGTTGCCAAGTCCGCGTTTTTTCCACAGAATTGGGCTACTTTTAAACTGTTGCCATGGGTC